CCCGCTTTACCAATGTTAAAATCTGGTCACCTTATCCTTAACTGACCTGAGCCTATGTACTTCACAACAAGGTCCTATTACAGTTTTTTTTTTTTGCAGTTTTTGGCTGGGGCTGGGTTTGAACCCACCACCTCCGGCATATGGGGCCGGCGCCCTACTCCTCTGAGCCACAGGTGCCGCCCAACAAAGTCCTTATTTAAATGGGACCTCAAGACTTGAAAGTTCGGGTTAAGCCACATCCCACCAAGGCCTTTTAGGGTCTACAAGGCCTGGAAAAAGGGCCGGGACTCTGCAGGACTCCACTGTTCTCCACCAGAGTTCTGAACTTGGCTGGGAATACGGCTTCCGGCTCCTCACTACAATGGCCTGAGTCAGGCCGTCACTTCTCCAAATTGCTAGAGGGAAAGTTGGGGCGCGCCAAATGTTGCTATGCTAGCACGGGGACCTCTCCGTCCTAATAACAGAGGCCTGGCTCTGGTGTGTGTGGGTTTTTTTTTTTGAGGAGTACCCTCCTTAGCATTCACAATCCTTGCTTCTGTTAGGACCTAGGTCTCCCTGGTGTTCCCTCTGAAAAAGCAGAGCTGCCCCTTTATTCCAAGCCCAGCCTGACCCGGAACCCTCAGGCCGAAAGCAGCACAGCTCCGGGGTTAGGGGTGGGGGCGAGGGGGTTCCGGATGGTTATCTGAAGGTGGGCGCATAAGCCCACATTTAGCATTCTTACCACGATACCTGATCAGTCCTGGTATTCGGGCAGTTGGAGCTTGCACCCTCCTGGAACACGCTCGCTTCTCAGAGATCCTAACTTCGAGAAATTTCCCAGACGGAAGTCACTGTAAGGCACATCCGGCCGATGGGGGAGGGGTGCAGGAAGTGAAGGTGGGGGAGCAGGAAGGGGCCTCCTAGGCCTGACAGCAGGCCCAGGGTACTGGTGGCCCAGTCTTTTGGGATAGGATCCTCTTACTGGTACTCAGGGTTGTCCCCTGAACTCCTGGGCCCAGCTGCCTCCCACACCTCAAGCCCTGGCAGCAGAACTGGGAAGCCTGTTTTTTGGACCCTATCGGCTCCCGTCCTCAGTTTAGACCTTCCAGGCGGAAATAGGTGACCCCGAGCGAAGGACTCTGCTTGGCCTCACAGGGGATCCTTACACTGAGCACTAAAAATGTGTGACTCTGCTGCTGGTGGTTCCCTTGGGTGCTCAGAGTCCTCACCTTGACTCCTGTGGGTTCTTGGGTCTCCAGTCCTACACAAACTGAGGCCACCCAGCTCTTTCAAGCCACTTCTCCCCTTGAGACCCTCTGGGCGTAAATGAGGCACCTCAGCCTGGGCCTCCCTGCTCATAGGATGGGGTGTTTGGGGCTTTGTTGTGCTTTCTCCCTTCTTCTCTGGGTAGTTCTTTTGTTCCTCCCTAAAATTCCTCACCTTGACACTAACGCTGGGACTCTATCCTTGGCAGACCTGAGGCTGCTTCCCTCAGATTGAGGTCCTCACCTTCCTAAGACCACTCAATTGGATTTAGGGCGAGCTACATCCAACCATGACTGTTCCAGATCCCAAAGACTATCCTTCAGGATAGGACTCTGTGGGACCCCACAGTTCTGGCTATGTCCTTCTATCATTCTTCCTTATGGGGCTTCACCTTCATACCTATCAGAGGTCCACAGTCCT